TCCTTAAAAAAAGCATACTTTAATTATTTGTAGGCCTTTATAAAAAGTGCCAACACTGCCACTGCTTCCAAAACAAAAATAGATACATTTTACATCTGGCAACATATTTTACATAAACATACATATATACAGTATATATATATTTAATTGAACTGTTAATCTTTCTTTAAAAATAATTTAATACTAACAATTTATTAGGTCTTAATTTTAAACCTATATTATTATTGCACAAACATTTTCAGAAAGAAATTAAGTTTAATTACTTAATACATTTTAATAAATAAATTAATTCTTTGAAAATTAATGCAACAAATGAACACAAACTTGCATTGGATTGCTAGGAGACCCATTAAAAATCAAAGCAATGCGTTTTAAAATCATCTCAAAAGATGTTTGATATCCTCTAACAGGATGGAATCATAGTCTGAAGCAAAAAATTAAATCAGAAAGTGTGTGCATCACGCGCAACACGATTTTCCGTGAAATCTGTCAACCCTGACTTCCCAAAATCTGAAGACTGGATTTGATTTTTGGCAACAAGCGTTGACTCATCCAGACAGCAAAAATCTGGGCAAAAGCTGTGTAGTGTACTCCAGTCTTTATAATTTGCCCAAAACAAGGTATCTTGAGCAACATAATTAAGTTGCCTACCTTATGGAACAGCCTTTGCATTGTGAGCATACCTTAAAAGGCTCCCTAAGTAGGCAGCAAACTAGATTTTGAACAACAGACCAAAAAAGTACATTCCTGCAACAGAAGAACAGTGACTGATTAACTGAAACACTTTCACTGCAGGTGTCTGGTAAAATGCAGCGTATATGAAACGGCAGTCGAGCAGTCAGATGAAGAAATAACAGCCATTATGACAAGGAGCATTGAGCACAGTTCACACATCAGTCACTGAGAAAGACGCCATTCAGCAAAAGATATAATTAGCTAGAATACACAGCGGCAGTGTTGTATGAAATAACCTTTCCAAACAGGTCTGCTGGGGACCAGCGAGATCCCCGGGCTCCGGAATATGGCTTTTTTATTAACTTTATGTGTGAATGGTACGTGTACATGTCAAAGAACACACATTTTTGCATGTCTAACCAAGCGGCTTCAAAATATACGGCTCAAGGAGCCAACCGCAAAGAATGCACTGATGTTTTTGTTTCTTAATCCATTCAAATGAGAGCGCAAAGGTTCTACTGTGCTGTGTACATGCAGAAAGATATGAGCATATGTTTAATCCGTTGAGTAAATAAATACGTTAAACAGAACAAAGATAGTGGCACTGAGGGGGAACATTATCACACAGAATATGACTGTTCCTTTGCACCTGTGTGTGTGTGTGTGTGTGTATGTGTTTAAAAGTGTTTACGATCTCTTATTATGCTGCTTCTGTAGAAGTCTGACTCTTGGAAAATGTAATAGAAAACGTGCACTATAGCCATCACCACACTGTGAAGATTTTTTTAAGGAGCATATTGGACTTTTTTTATCATATTATTTTTTGCTAAACAGCTAAAATCAAATCTTCTGCAATAATTTTAGGGGTAACATTTATGGAATTCTGCAGAATGGATATAAAAGTAGTGTACAAATGTATCAAAAAAGGCAGGAAACTCGCTTTCTCTGATCACGGTTTATGATGTGCAAAATAAATTATAGTATTATTTTTATACTACTATAGTATTTAATAATATTTTAGCGTTTTACCTATTATTTTTAGAGTTTCATTTTAATTTAAGTTGAAGTTTTAGTAACTGTGCTTTTGTATTTATTTATTTCTATTTTGCTATTTCTATTTAGGCTAGCCAAGGAGGAAACAGGAGGAGCCAGGGAGAAAACAGGAGAGACTTGGAGTAGGAGGAGGACCCGAGGTGGAGAGCCGACGGGGAGGATCCGGAGGGCCAAGGCGGAGCAGACGGCTCCAGAAACCGATGCAGAGGCGTGGATCCGGAAGGCCGCGGTGGAGCTGGAGCGACAGAGGACCGAGGAAGAGCTGGAGGGATGGAGAAGCCTGACGGAGCCGGAGGGACGAAGGGACAAGGTGCAGCCGGAGGAGTGGAGTCTCGAAGCGCAGGATGGTCGACGCCAGACCAAAGCGGAGCCGGAGGGATGAGGGAGCCCGGCGGAGCCAGTGGACTGCCGGGCCACGGCGGAGAGGAGGGAGCTAGGAGCGAGGGCTGTGAGATTAATCGAAATCGTCATAAAATCGCGATTTGAGCTTGCGTGATTTCTAAATCGCTTTATAGCACGATTTTCCGCGCCCCGACCTCCCGCAGTATGCTATCCAAACCAATCAGAATGCAGCGCGCCTAAATGGAGCACGAGAACAGAACAGATCAGGCGGGCATAAAAACGTAATGCCAGGTTCACACACTCCGTCTGTGGTGTGGATTTTTTCCGCGCCCATGTTAACGGATCAGAGCGTTCACACTGCACGCGATTGAGGTCCGGCAGTGCGCTCCAGGAGCGGTGCGTCTGCAGCAGTCATTTCTGCTGTGCTGCACGTGCTGAATTAAAGTGACAGCGCATTATTCGCGGTAAAAATTAACATGGATTGACATGGAAATTTAGTAATTACACCATAAATGCATATAATTAAAGTCTACTGTTTCACAGTCAACACATGGCTTTTTGGCTAGATTTAAAACAAGGAAAAGTGCACTTTTAGATAAACAAGGCAATAATAGATACAGCCGCGGTTCAGGAGCGGACTGCAAACGCGTCCTGTGCGAAAGCAAAATTAGTCCTTGCTGCTTCTGCACCGACCGCATACACATCCTGTATACGCACTGCAGACGGAGTATGTGTGAACTTGGCGCAACAACTCTAGTTCAACATCTGAGGCAACGCCACAAAGAGCTCTATGACCAATGCATGGCAAAAAAAAGGAAACGTAGAATTAACTGTTCTTGGTCGGGTCTTCTGTCACGTAATGCTGCCGGAAAATGACACACATTCACAACTGGTAGACCCGACAAAACACAGACTGAACAGACTGGGGCTTAAATACACAGGATAACGAGGAAATTGGGAGAATGACTAATTAGACAGGGGATAAACTGGGTCACGGAGCACATAGGGAGGGAAAACACAACAAAAACAGTCCAGGGGCGTGACAATATGTTAAATTAATCCTGTTACCTATGATGTGTCCCCTTTAATTCTGGTGCCAAAATGGAGAAATGCAAGCATGCACTATGACTGAATGTGCATTACATCACTAAGCACTCTCATAGCCATAAAAATTTAAAATGTATGTTGCCTGGAACGTTCACCCTTTCTTTAGTGGATTTACTTGAACACAGCATTGTTTACTAATGTTATACGTCTTTTAGATGATTCCAAACACTGAAGCTGAATCCAGACCACAGCCAGTGGTCACCCTGCATGAGAAATGTCTAAAAATACCAAAGCGCAGGATAAATCTCCCAGCTAATTAACACAAAAGCCTTTTTTCTTCCTGATTTTGAAGAGCTAAAATTCCAGCTAATTTAAGAGGAAGACTGTCCAGCTCAAATCATAGAAAGCCTCTTGGTATTTGATGGAAAAAATACTGTTAGAAAAGTGGCTTACAAGAGTGCGTATCGGGTGACTGGGCAAGAGCGGTAAATGGGGAAAGCGTGTAATTCCTCTGATTAAATTATATACCAAATTAAGAAGCTGTGGATGCATTTAGCGTCCTTCAGACCACATCTAGGAAATATCAGGGGAAAGAAAAGGCCTTAAAAATAACATGTCAGCTTTTTCTGAAATCCATCTGAAACATCATCCCAATATTCCACTATTAGAACAAAACCATTAAACGATGAAAAGAAAAATGAGGAGGAGAAAAGAACACCCCTTTTAACCTGTGATAATCAGAGAGCAAGACAGAATGGTTTTGTCTATACAGTAGATGGCACACTAGTTCCCATAAGTACACTGGATCATTCCTTGCCATCAAAAACATTCAAGCACAGCATGAGGCAATCCATCACCTCTCTAAACATAATGTTCAGCTTGATCCCACTTTAGCAACCACAAAAGGCACAAAAAAGCATTTGCGCAGCAATTTAAGACTTTAAAACAAGGCCTCAGATGCCCTTTCGACGCCGAAGCTCTGAAATCTACAAGCTATTGTTTCATACTGCTACTAACAATTTTTTAATTGTTTTCAAGCTCCAAGCTTTCAAGGTCTAAAAACCACAAAGAAAATCTGGGATTTAAAATGCCATTTAAACCTGTCAATAAACAGAAAGCTTGAGGATTCTGAAAAATGTAAAACAAAGAAATATGTGTAATTAACTGTATGATTAAATTAAATCCAAACTGGCTTGGTGTGATTATCAAATTGCAAAAGCCGCAATTTAATTAAATAAATATATGCAATGTGTGTTTCAGAGTTCTTTTATACACGAGAAGCTCATGGTCTGGTGATTTAAAATGCCATTTAAACCTGTCAATAAACAGAAAGCTTGAGGATTCTGAAAAATGTAAAACAAAGAAATATGTGTGATTAACTGTATGATTAAATTAAATAAATCCAAACTGGCTTGGTGTGATTATCAAATTGCAAAAGCCGCAATTTAATTAAATAAATATATGCAATGTGTGTTTCAGAGTTCTTTTATACACGAGAAGCTCATGGTCTGGAGTTTTAGTATCTTTTCAGTATAATAATAATAATAATAGTAATAATAATTATATAATCACAAAATTTTTGGTCAAATTGTTTAGACCTACAAAAAGTGCATTTAACCTGAAGCTTTAAAAATGAATTATATAAAAAAAACCTTTCATTTTAAAATCAAATGTGCAAATTTGTGACAGTCAAATGTCAGACGTTAGATGTCCTTAAATATGCTCTTTAGATTATTCTCACATTGTGGATTTCAAACTTAGCCTATAATTATCACATTGGCCTTGATGTTAATTTTTGATACATTTTTTGAAATCCAAACTTTTTGGGATCAAAATCACTTCATTTGACAGCACATGGTAGATTAGTTTTCTGTTTAGGATACATTTCCTCAAAGTAGTCGATGTGTGGAGGCTGCAGAATATCCAGAGCTGACAGCACCTGTGGAGAAACAAAGACAGAGCGCCAGAGGTCAGCTTTGACGCCAGAGAATGTAGGCACTGACACCAGCCTTCATATGACATTCGTTTCCCAGGCACCAGCAGCCCAGGGACAACCAGAGCTAGCCAGGCTCCCGCTAATGGCACCATGGGGATAGCACATAGATAGCGAGAGTTAGGTAACACTAACTGATTAAAAAAAACAGTAGGGGATGGTGGGAAGCTCACATTGTCGTGCTTGAAGAAACAAAGCATCTTCAGCTCGCGGAAAACCCTCTTGCAGGAGACGAGGTTTTGGAAGACATTGGGCATCTTTTTGAGGGCCACGCGTTTGCCGTCTCTGGGGTCTGTCACTGACCTGAGGAGAAAAGATGAGAAATAAGCCATTAGGCAGGGCAATATACCAAAAAATGTCTGCATTCATACCAAAAAATATCAATATATACATTAGCATTCAAAAGATTTAAAGTTTTGAAATAAAGTTTCTTGTGCTCAATAAGGCTGCATTTATTGAATTCAAAATAAATAAAATGTAAAATATGAAGAGTTTATTTGCAAAAACAGATAACTCCGCTTTTTAAAATTAAAAAAAATCATGTTATCATGTTTTTATTGTGTTTTATTGTGTTAGTTAGCTGTATTTTTTTTTTTTTAAATTTACCTAATCAAAATAACCCAAGTGCAGTTTGATTGAGATTAATTGTCGATATACCCAAAAATTTCTACATTCATACCAAAAAAATATCAATATATACATTAGCATTCAAAAGATTTAAAGTTTTGAAAGAAAGTTTCTTGTGCTCAATAATTCAATTTATTGAATTCAAAATAAATAAAATGTAAAATATGAAGAGTTTATTTGCAAAAACAGATAACTCCGCTTTTTAAAATAAAAAAAAATCATGTTTTTTATAATGTTATCATGTTTTTATTGTGTTTTATTGTGTTAGTTAGCTGTATTTCTTTTTTTTTTAACCTAATCAAAATAACCCAAGTGCAGTTTGATTGAGATTAATTGGAATGCACAATGTAAAAACATGATTTTTGAAAATTGTTAAAAACAGTTATCTGTTTTTGCTAATTAACTCTCTCACTCTCTCTCTATATATACACTGTATATATATATATATATATATATATTTATATATATATATATATACATACACAATTTAAAATAACTTTTTTTAAATTTACCTAATCAAAATAACCCAAGTGCAGTTTGATTGAGATTAATTGGAATGCACAATGTAAAAACATGATTTTTGAAAATTGTTAAAAACAGTTATCTGTTTTTGCTAATTAACTCTCTCACTCTCTCTCTATATATACACTGTATATATATATATATATATATATATTTATATATATATATATATACATACACAATTGAAAATAACTTTTCTATTTTCGTATATTTTAAAAAGTCATTTATTTCTGTGATGGGAAAGCTACATTTTTAGCAGCTATTATTCCAGTTTTGAGTATCACATGATCCTTCAGAAACTACCAAACTACCTACTACCATTGTTGAAACATTTGTGCTTTGTAATACTTTTGTGGAAACAGAGATTTTTTTATTTATATTTTTTGGATTCTATAATGAATAGAAAGTTCAAAAGTACAACATTTAGTTGAAATAAAAAGCTTTTTTAACATTATAAATGTCTATACTGTCACTTTTTATTGATTTAATGCATCCTTACACAATATTCTATCACAATATTCTTGTTAAAAAAATTAACAGTATAACTTTTGAACAGTAGTGTAATATATATGGTTGTGTTTTTCAATTTATCTACATCAATTTTTGATGACACAAATGAACCGTTTTGAATTAGTTCACTGAAGCAGTTTGAAGTGATTCATAATAATTAAAGTCTTGAATCTATCAACTCTAAAACGAGTACTTGTCACGATAGAAGGAGGGATTGGGAAATTAGTCTCATGATGTGGAAACTTTATGATCAAATACAAAGTGCATTAAAATAACTGATATTCATACTGTTGTGTAATTTAATTTTTTGTCAGCAAAAACTTTAACCATATTGTGAATATTTGCTAAATCGGCCAGAACTAATCTGCAATTTAATTATATATTTTGATTAATTTTGACACAAAAAGAAGAAGGGAAGAGAAAGCGAGAGATGATTTGTTGATAAAAAGGCAAGCGCTGAAGGGCCCTCAGTAATGGCCTTGAATGTTGCCGGTTTGTGAACATCTTTTGTCGTCACTGTGCTATGAGCAGCTCGATGTGACCTTACTGACAGATGCCAATTGGTATAAGTGCCTCTCCTTCTTCCCTGAAGAGTAACACATTTTCCACAGCAATTTTAAACACATTACACAAATGTAGCTATCATTTCCCGAGCATAACGTGTCATTTCAACACGCCGCTGTGCAATGCTATACCTTGCTTGCCTGTTCATTTTTATGTATTGACTATATATGAAAAGACATTTTCTCTCTTGAATTGATAACATCCATGATTATAAAATAGAGCTTGTGTGCATTTATGCAAACTATAAAGTGCACAATAAGTCTCAAACCAATACACAGACGAGTCATATATAATGTATGTATAAGATTTTCACAACACCAAATGCTTTAGCTGTTTTTGTCGCATAATAATCGTCTCAAATGTGACTGGTAAACCTCAGAGGTGTGATCAATGTACACAAATAAGTCTGTCCCTGTACACCTCACCTAAAACAGAATGGAACATTTAGACTTAAAAACAATTCATGCTCACGCAAACACACACACACACAATAGCTTCATGCAATGATAACTTCTTTTGAGGAACACAAAAGAAGATATTGTTTCATTATTTCGTTTTAATTTTGTCCATATGTGGAAAGTCACTGACTTTCACTGTATGGGAAACATTATTCAAAATATCTTCTTTTGTGTTTTACATAAGAATAAAAGTCATATATATAAAAAATATTAATATACACTACCGTTTAAATGTTTAGCGTAGGTAACATTTAAAAAAAAAAAATGTATTTGAAAAAAAAAAAATGTATTTGAAAAAACAGCAATATTGTGAAACATCATGTAAACTAACGTTTTAATTTAATAATATTGAATCCATTACATTAGTCTTCAGTGTCACATGATCCTTCAGAAAAGTGGCAGAAAAGTAAGACAAAGTGGAACAGAGCAGTGACAGATATATATTAGGGATTATAAAATAAATGAAGTGTTTATTTAGGGTCTGAGGAAACATTGATCGGGAAAATGAATGATTAACGGAGTAAAAGCTCTCTTGGGTCGGCACCATGACACACAAACACTCTCGCACACACACGCCTGGTCACGGCATGTGATTCACAAGCTGGATTAGACAACAGCACGAGGGTGAGGGAGAGGGAGAGAGAAAGAGAGAGATGTTTCTTTGATAAAAAGGCTATCGCTACAGCACTGCCATCTCTCCTCAGTATCAAAGCAAAAGCTACAGCAGGAAATGAAGACAAGTTTCTTGGAAAATAGAGCAATAAAGAAAGACAGTCTTGTATAGATATACGCGCTGAATGAAAATGTGACAGACAACGCAATAGATTTGCACAGGAAGTTATCCCGGGAATAACAAGGATGGAGTTTATTCCCACATCCCAACCAGCCTGTCACAGCAACAGTGACTCGACCAATGGCGTAGCTTTAGGGGCGGGACTATCTATGTGTTAGTAAACAATCAGTTTTGATGCTAGTGGCAACACTTCAATTTAATGTTTTGCATTTAAGAATTACATATTAATCATATTTGTGATGATGTTAGCTAGTTCCGTTATTTTCTATCTTTCTAAGCTTAGTTCACAGACATGCACGCGAGAGACTCGTCGAATTGAACTCATTAAAGCTTTGTCAGCAGCCTTGCCTCAAAATCCCTCCCTCCACCGTTTCCAGGTGCCAGAAAAATAACGACAACACAGCCACGTGAGCCCGACTGATGCCTGGACCATATGTGGAAAGTCACTGACTTTCACTGTATGGGAAACATTATTCAAAATATCTTCTTTTGTGTTTTACATAAGAATAAAAGTCATATATATAAAAAATATTAATATACACTACCGTTTAAATGTTTAGCGTAGGTAACATTTAAAAAAAAAATCTTTTTTTTGAAAAAAAAAAAATGTATTTGAAAAAACAGCAATATTGTGAAACATCATGTAAACTAACGTTTTAATTTAATAATATTGAATCCATTACATTAGTCTTCAGTGTCACATGATCCTTCAGAAAAGTGGCAGAAAAGTAAGACAAAGTGGAACAGAGCAGTGACAGATATATATTAGGGATTATAAAATAAATGAAGTGTTTATTTAGGGTCTGAGGAAACATTGATCGGGAAAATGAATGATTAACGGAGTAAAAGCTCTCTTGGGTCGGCACCATGACACACAAACACTCTCGCACACACACGCCTGGTCACGGCATGTGATTCACAAGCTGGATTAGACAACAGCACGAGGGTGAGGGAGAGGGAGAGAGAAAGAGAGAGATGTTTCTTTGATAAAAAGGCTATCGCTACAGCACTGCCATCTCTCCTCAGTATCAAAGCAAAAGCTACAGCAGGAAATGAAGACAAGTTTCTTGGAAAATAGAGCAATAAAGAAAGACAGTCTTGTATAGATATACGCGCTGAATGAAAATGTGACAGACAACGCAATAGATTTGCACAGGAAGTTATCCCGGGAATAACAAGGATGGAGTTTATTCCCACGTCCCACAAGCCTGTCACAGCAACAGTGACTCGACCAATGGCGTAGCTTTAGGGGCGGGACTATCTATGTGTTAGTAAACAATCAGTTTTGATGCTAGTGGCAACACTTCAATTTAATGTTTTGCATTTAAGAATTACATATTAATCATATTTGTGATGATGTTAGCTAGTTCCGTTATTTTCTATCTTTCTAAGCTTAGTTCACAGACATGCACGCGAGAGACTCGTCGAATTGAACTCATTAAAGCTTTGTCAGCAGCCTTGCCTCAAAATCCCTCCCTCCACCGTTTCCAGGTGCCAGAAAAATAACGACAACACAGCCACGTGAGCCCGACTGATGCCTGGACCCGAGCTCCCCGAGCGCACTTCAGGACTCACACACAGAACCTACTTCCTGGAGATAGCAAAGCGAAATGTCTAAAATAGAAAGATACGCCTCACTCTCACTCTGCATCTATCGCTCCATCTATTTCTCACTCTCTTTCCCTCCGCTTTTAATCATTGGCTATTCAAAGATGAAAAGCCTTTCTGAAAGGGACAAAGATTATCCGAGTACTTCAAACATGGCTTTTCTCTCTCTAAGAGCACATGAACATGTCCTCAGAAACAAAAATGGCTCTTTTGCTTGACGT